CTGTGTGTTTGGTCTGGGGAGTCCTCCTGTGTGGCAGTTGTCTGTGTTGTTGAAAACAGGTTTTTTGCTATGAAGAACTTGGTGGGGCCCACCGATGACGGCCTTGCCCTGTGGGGGTAGCTGCTTGGCTCACAACTGGCCATCAACTGGCCACCGGAGCGTTCACTGGCCTCCTGGAACTCTGGATCCGGCTTCAGCGCTTTTGGTTTTGTGTCAGTGTTAGGTTCACATAGCTTTTCCTCTCCGCAGTCAGGGCTTCAGGCTCTCCACATGTGTTTTCTCACCTCTTTGTTGTAGAGCAGGGGTTCCCAACCTTCCTAACGCCGCGACCCTTTAAGACAGTTCCTGGTGTGATGGTGACCCCCAGCCAGAAAATTATTTTCGTTGCTACTTCATAACTAATTTTGCTACTTTTATGAATCGGGTGACCCCTATGGAGGGGTTGTGTGACCCAAAGGGGCAGATGGAGAACCACTGTTGTAGAGGGTTTATGTGGTGTGTCAGTCTGGGCCACCGTCCTGCCGGAAGTCTCCTTGATGTGTCTCACTTTGTCTCTCAGGGGCTCTTTTTCGGGATTCTATGTGTATGTACCTTTCTCGTTTACCTTCTCAGTCCTGTGTCAGCAGCAGGTCCTTTGGGGTAAAAGGTGGGTGGCAAGGGATGGAAAGTTAGCTCCGTATGATTCTAACTGCTTTGGATAACTCCCCCACCCCGTTCAAACTCCATACCATTATCTTAAGGCTTTATATGTTCTAATCAGCTCTTCCTCACATTCCTGCTCCAGGGGTGGTTTGATGCTCCCCTTCCTCACCAGCCGCCCATGACTTGGCCTTTATCCTCCCCTGAAATCACACCTAGAGATTTCGGCTTCCACTTTGAAGTCAACGATGTGTTCCCCTACTTAGTCTTACCTTTCCTTTGCCGTATCAGGATGATGTAGGATCCAGCGTCTACCAATGACTCTGTAGACTGCTGTTGCCCAGGTCTAAGATGGAGAGCAGGCATGGTCAAGACCAGCTTGCTCCTCGGTGTTTGCTCTGGCCCTTCTGTTGTGGTTTCCAAGGTCCCTGTTCCAGTCACTGGGGCTTAATGGTTCCCTCGCATTGGCTAATAGCATCGTCACCAGTAGGTTTTGTTCATTTGGGGTGGGGGAGAGTGATACACATATTTGTATATATGTAGACATACATGAGGGAGGGTGTAAAAAAGTTGACATATAACCCCCACCCACCAACCCACGGTGACAAACAACAGAAACATGGGTGCAGGGAGACAGCAGAAGACGTAAGATAGGAAAATAGTAATAATTTATAAATTCATGAGGGAGGGAGGGAGAAATGAGGCTGATAGCAAGGGCTCAAGTAGA